ATTGTGTATATATTTATATAAAATTATATACATAATTTAAAAAATAAGCACAAAAATACCCATACCATTTATTTTTACAATGTAAATAAAGTATAACGCAGCGGAATAAATATTATGGTCATACCTTTCAATCAGAGTCTGAATTGAAGGATCTCGTGGGTAAATTACGTGCTTCCTGAATCTGGTCAATCAACCCAGTAATGGGGTGATATTACAATAGTGAATATCACCCACACAAACCACAGTGCAAATGGCTTTTATCGTTGTTTTTGGGAGAGAGTCAGTATATGGGAAAAACTCAAACATACGTTTTTTTTCACTTAATCACCCATATCCCATATATCAGATATATAATCTATTTATCTCATTTATCCATATTTGTTATATGAGATAATATCTTATATCTATATCATCTATCCATATCATGATATGATAGATATATATCCTGAGTGGCTATCCAAATAAGTTTGAATTCAAATTCAAAACCCATTTGGATAAGGTTCAAAAGGTTCAAGTTTAAAAGGTTCTAAGGGTCATGCCACATGGGCGCCCAATTTCTAACAGTCCCCACGATGTTAGAGTTTGCATGAAAGCTGTTGGTATCTGTGGCAGTGATGTTCATTACCTCAAGGTGATATATTATCTATTGGCAATCATCAATTAAAAACTTAATGATAAAAGAGACCATGGATTTACTTAAAGGGCTCTTTATCAAATACATTACTGGTTGTGAATGTTGTGTATAATTTCAGAATATGCGATGTGGAGACTATGTTGTGAATGAGCCGATGGTGATCGGACACGAGTGTGCAGGAGTCATAGAAGAAGTTGGGAGTGCGGTAAAATCATTAATGAAAGGCGGCCGAGTGGCTTTGGAGCCTGGCATCAGTTGCTGCCAGTGCAATCGTTGCAAGGAAGGTCGTTACAATCTATGCCACGACATGAAGTTCTTCGCTACTCCTCCCATTCACGGTTCTCTTGCCAATCAGGTCACTAAATAAAATAAAATCTATTTTATATTACTTTTGCCCTTTTTGATCAAATTATTAGTTTTTTTTGTTTTTTTTTTTTTCGTTAGATTGATAATTATTAGTTGGATTGATGATATTTGACAGATAGCGCATCCTGCAAGTTTATGCTTTAAGTTGCCTGATAATGTAAGCATGGAGGAAGGAGCAATGTGCGAGCCCCTCAGTGTCGGTGTGTATGCTTGTTTCCGTGCTCAAATTGGTCCTACAACCAACGTATTGATCATTGGAGCGGGACCTATAGATCTGGTTACAATGCTCGCTGCTCGTGCTTTTGGAGCCCCCAGAATTGTGATTGTGGATGTGGATGACCACCGCCTCTCTGTTGCCAAAAATCTTGGTGCAGATGGAGTCGTCAAAGTTTCATCAAATATGCAGGTTTGCACTATTTGCATAGAAACCAATCACAGAATGACACTGCAAACTGGTAATTCCCAAAAATTTGCCTTTTTTTTTAACAGAAGTGTCTTTGTAGGATGTGGGTAAAGAAGTAGAACAAATTCGAAAAGCCATGGGAGGTGAAGTGAGTGTGACCTTTGGTTGTACTGGTTTTAGCAAATCCATGTCGACAGCCTTGAGTGCCACAGCCTCTGGTGGCAAAGTTTGCCTCGTTGGAATGGGACATTGTGAAATGATCGTCCCGCTCCCTCCCGCTGCTGCAAGGTATTTGATTCAATTTTTTTTTTTTTTTTTTTTCATTTGATATTGAAGTCAACAGCAAAATTTTAGTAATTTTTAGCTTTGATGATGGTTGATTGGTTGTTTTATGGTTTTTAACTTACAGGGAGGTTGACGTGGTTGGTATTTTCCGTTATAAAAACACATGGCCAGTATGTCTTGAATATCTGAGCAGCGGAAGGATTGATGTGAAGCCGCTGATAACCCACAGATTTGGATTCTCCCAGAAGGAGGTGGAGGAAGCCTTTGAAACGAGTGCTCGTGGTGGCAAAGCCATCAAAGTTATGTTTAATTTGTAGGGTGGCTGAGGAAGGTTTTTGTACTAGGATAGTTTGAATTAAGTTAGTTTGTAAATCAAAACACAAAAACATGCAGCGGAATAAAATGTTTAGATCATACCTGTTGATGATAGAACCTCGTAGATAAATCACGTGCTTCCAGAATCTAATCAATCAATCCCAGCAGTGGGGTGATATTACAATGGTGAATATCACCCACACAAACCACAGTGCAAATGGCTTTTGATCATTGTTTCTTGGGAGAGAGTCAGTATATTGGTAGAAACAAACCTACGTTGTTTCTCTCTTAGGTTACCCATAACCATATATCAGATATATAATATATTATTATTATTTATCCATATCAGTTAAAACTGATAATATCTATATCTTAAGTGGTTATCCTAAATAGGTTTGAATTTAATTCAAAACCTATTTGGATAAGATCCAAATTATGTTCAAATGGTCATGCCACATGGGCGCCCATTACTAACATAGTTCGTATAAATAATTGATCAATTCCTTAACTATTTGATTAGTTCAATAATATTTTAAATGTTATGGGCCAATCAAGATCTTATTTTACAATAACTTCTCCAATTATACTTCAAAATAATTGGGCTCGTCAAGAATATTTCTACTCGTATGCCAACTTTGTCCGACTTGGTGTGATTTTGATGATGTGGGTTAGATGGACTCCACCCACCTTGGTGGAGAAATGAATTTAAACATTTTCCTCTCGTAAAGATGTGTATAAATCATATTTTATGATCTATATTTTGAGGTCAACGTTTATGTGACTTGTACAACTCTTATCATAAGAGCACCAAATATTTTTACAAGTTCAATCCCCACTCCTCAATACATATGATCAAGCAAAGTTTATTGGGTCACAACCTTATTCCAAGAACACTTAATTAACTTCTAATTAAATTTGTCATTTGCTCCAAGAATACCTAATTAACTTCTCCATAAATAGATCCATATAATAATTGTACTATCAAAAAAAAAATTTAATTTTCAAAATAAACTATTATTTTAGGATGCCTGTAATATTATTTTGCTTTGTGTTTTCCTTTTTTATTATTTTTAGCCTTTTCAAGGAACAGTAATGTGGTGTTCTTGGAGTTGGATCTCCTGTTCCAATTTGTTGTACCAATCTTCTGTTCCATTATTTAGATGCTGCCACGTCACTTTGTATAAAACTAAAACTTTAGGCTTGCACCGTAGGATTATTGAATCAGTGTGTTAGGTTTGAGTTTTTTGGATTAAGTTTTTTGGAAACTGAGTTTTTTAGTTTTCGTGTGTTTTTTGTTTTTAGTGAATATTTTTTAAATTTTAAACATTTTTTTTTACTTTTTTAGATGCACCTTACTTAGAGGTATCTAAAAAATACAAAATTTGTGAAAAAATATTTTAAAAAATTAATAAATACATAAAAATACAAAAAAAAATAATATTGAATTTTCGTTTTTTTTTTTATATTTTTGATATTTAGTGAATTTTTAAAAAGTTTTTATCATAAATTTTTTACTTTTTAAATATATTTATATTAGGTATGTTTAAAAAGTAAAAAAAATTACTTAAAATATTAAAAAATTCAGTAAAAATAAAAAAATGCAAAAACGAAAAAATAAAATTTTTTAAAAAATGATTTTTGAAAAACCTAACCATGCATTTTTGGTGTGCACATTTGGTTAAACTCGTGGACTTTTATCACACACACAGTACAGTTTCGACTGCATAGCCATCGGAGTCTCCGCTACAGTCGAAACATTTGCAAAAGTTGAGGAAAAAGGAAGAAAAAGACTTCAAATATCTAAACACTTGCCAAGAGATTTCTTCATTATTATTCTATTATATTAAATCCATTTTTCTTCGTTTTTCTCCTCTTCTTGGTTCCCATTATATACCTTGTGAAGAAGTGGTTTGGAAATACTCTTCTGATTCTGGGCGACGCTTGTGATCCTCTGCAGGTCACCTGAAAAGGAATAAACACTCCAGTCGGGGATGTCAGAATTAGCACTCCGATGGGCAAGTCAGTCTCTATACTCAGGATTACTTGTATTCTAAGTTAAGTGTAATAGTTCTCACATACATTTCTTTAACTGATGACCCTGTATTTATATTGCTCTCTTTCTTGGGCCTCGGGACTGGGCCCACCTTCAATTTGTCGTATAACTATTTATTCGACTTCGTTTGCAGCAAACCGCTTCTCACTCGGCTCCTTATTCAATCGGCTATTTGGCCGAATAGGGCAAGATTTAAATCGAGGGACGGATTTGAATAAAATATATATATATATAGTTCGACCCAAGTCCAACTATTTGGCCTCTTCATGACTTCCAATATTCGGCCCCCACAATTGCCCCTCAAACACTTCACTTACGACAGTTAACTGGAGTGTTTGGTTTTGAACTTCGAAAAGTCAGAGCCGAAATTAGGTGGTTATCCTCATTTCAACGCGAATGTCAGAGCACACGCCTCTCGGTTGTCATTTCAACTTCCCGCCTGTTCGTATGCCTCCATTTATTATGATTGAAAATCTTGTCGTCTTCTCGAACACACATTTTGGATGCTTAAAGTTTTTGAACTACCTTCCGACTCGTCTCTGTAACTTCCATTTGTCCTCCATTGTCTTCTTCGTCTCTTGTAAGTCTCTTTCCTCCCTGCTCTCTCTCCGCTTTGAGTCCTCTTTCCTGGTTACCCCTTAGTTTAGCACACTCCTATAAACTGATCGAAATGGCAAAGCATCTAAAAGACCTCCTCTCTGCGGATCGAATTTTTGGCTTTCGACGCCATTTTTCTGTCCCTGATGATGTCCGTCTGTCGCTCGTGACAGACGGCACTCTCGTTATGGAGAGGGCTGATGAATCCACGATTGTCTTCCCTCTCCTATCGATCCCAGAGGGTGGAGTCTGTTTCCCCCTTCACCCATTCCTTAGGGCTGTGCTTTGCCACTAGGGTTTAATCCCTTCCCAACCCAATGTCAACTTTTTTAGAATTGTAATGGGGATTATAGAGCTAAACCGTCGCCTTAGGATTAACCTCGGCATCCCAGCTCTCCAGCATTGTTACGCCTTGGCTAAGTCTTCTGGTCAGCTCGGACGTTATTTCCTTAGGGCCAAGGACACCGACCATCAGCTAGTGACTATGCTTTCCAGTTTTGGGAAGCAAGTCGATGATGTTAAGGTCGTTGTCCAAGGCAACTAGGAACTCGGCGAGGATCGCCTCGACCCTATTCCTAGACGGAGGGGTGAACCAGGTGGCCGTATAGCTTCTTCTGTTTGTTATTGTTATATATGTATATATATATATATATATATTTTTGTTATATATCTGCAAAGCTACATTTCTGAGACCTCATGGTTTTGCTCGTGCAAGAAACGATTTGAACAAAGTCCTGACTTCAACTGACGACACCGTTCTTTCAAAAGTCAAAGTCGCGCTAAGATATTTCGGCCATCCAAGTCTCCAGAAATAGGGGAGGGCGGCCCACATTCTGCTTCGCTATGAGCCAACCTATACCACCTTCTCGGCGGCAAAAAACATCCCAATTCCAAAGGGTGAAGAGTCTCTTAATGCTCTTATTTTTTCCGACTGCAAAAACCTGCGGCAAGTTGGTTTCGAGGGATCTGATTCGGAGCGGGCGGAAGTAGCTGAGTCACCGAGTCAAACCATTTCGAAGTAGAGGTAGACGAGGCATTGAAATTGGCTTTTGAGGAAGCCGACCTTAATTCAACCGACCCTCCGTCTACTTCGGCCCGAGGGGACCTTCCATTTGACGACGTTTTCAATGGTTTAGAGGATCTTCCCGACGCATACCCCGAAGACATGGCTGGGTTAAGCCTCGCATAGCTCGCCAAGAAGGCGAAGAGCAAAGGCCATTCGATCCGAAGTGCGAACTGCTGCCAAATCTCAGCCCTCCCTGCCCGTTGCCGAATCTCAGCCCTCCCTTGCCTGTTGAGGAAATGGCAAAGAACCAAAGTGCCAAGTCTGCTGTGGTCGAGCAGGTCGATCGAGAGGCCGAGCAAAGGGTAAAGAAACGTCCTGCCGAGGTCGAAGCCGGCTTAGAAGAAAATCGTGCCAACAAATGACCTCGTTTAGAGGAGTCGGCTGTGATGGTGCCTTTTGTCATTCAGCCGAAGATAAAAAAAACATGTTGATCTCCTCTAATGCTTCGGTTATTAAAGATAGCCGAGATAGGCCGTCGCCATCATGACGCCGTCGAACAACTTAGCCGTTTGCAGACGGAAGTTAAAGGCCAAAAGAGCAGGGCCGAGTTTGAAGCCTTGAGGGCAAAGATGGAAGGCGCGAGGACCGAGGCCGAGATGGAGAGGGCCAGAAATGCAGACGAGCTCAGGTTGGCTGCTGAGTAGAGGGTGAATGCAAGTGAAGCTGTGCTCAAGTTAGCCCAATTGGCAATCGCCAAACTTGAAGCGGACTTAGCAGAATCAAAGGCGGCGAAAGAGGTAGCCAACTCTGAGCCAAAGAAGGCGTACGAGGCTGGGCAAAGCGCTGCCCTTGCCAATTACGTGGAAGAAGTCCCCAAATTCGAGAATCGGGGATTCAAACACGGCTGGCTCAAAGCACTTGCTGCTGCTAATGTGACATTGGCTATGCCAATTCCATATAAGCAAGTGGATATTGAGCCACTGGAGTCTAACACTGAGAATTGATGAGGGCGACTGTAGACACCCTATTTTTGACCGCCCTGAAGACTTGGGCACTATTGATGGTTTACTTGGTGAAGAAAGGTGTACAGGGCAAAGGTTCAGTTTCTTCGGCAAGGAAAAAGTCAAATCTCAACTTCATCCCCCTTTTTTGGACCAAAGCCATTTTGGATGATTTTAGACCTTAAAACCCTCTCTTTCAAAACTTTTTGAATAAAGTTTCTACAATGCTCTGACGCTCGCATTTTGTTAAATGTTGCGCTTTTCGGTAAACCGAGCAAGGGCAGAGTTGAAATGAATGAAAGAAAGTTGAAACCTTTGAAAACTCCTTCAAAACACCTTGTTTAGGGGTTTGGAGTTGA